ACCACAGTTAAATTCACTCTATCTAGGAGGCTCAGTTTATATGGATAGTTTTTATTTTTTACAACAACAAGCTGCAATGAAAACAAGAAAAAATAAAAGTAACAACTTTATACTTCTTGTCTTTTTAAAAATGTAAGAAGTAAAAAGTAGGCTGAAAAATAATTACTCAAGTAAAGTACAGATACACAAATTCTACTTAAGTACTGAGATCCAATTATATAGCAGCAAGTGCTGAAAATTTTACTAATTAATTAAAATATGTCAACAAGGGAAGACCTGTCCATCCAGCCTTACATGTTGGAACCAGAGTCTGACCCAGAACCAGAGTCTGACCCAGAACCAGAGTCTGACCCAGAACCAGAGGAGAATGAAGACCACTAAATTGTAGTTGGTAAGTTCAGACCTTAATAAGAAGTTCTGACACAAATACTGTGAGTTTAGAAACTGAACAGACTGAAGAATCTGACCCAAACAGAACATAAAGATATCCACGCAGCACCAGGAGAGACTAAATTAAACTTTTCTGCACTCCAAGTACAACAAAAAGTATTTAAGAGGTAAACTAGTGGATTCAGCACAAGTTTCTCATGTTTTATATTTGATTTGATCCAATCAGAGCGGCTGTAGGCCCATAAGGAAGTAGAGACACCTTGTTATAAATAAAGGATTGTCTTTTAAAAAACACTGGGTAATATTCAGGTTGTAACTCAATAAGTACTGCCAAACTGAAGTACTTCTGTTATACTACAAACTGTAGTTATGTTATGGAACAGAATGGAAGATGAAGTTAAAAATGTCAGATTGTATTGAAGAGAAAGATAAAAACAATTATTCTGAAGAAATATGGAGAATTATAAGTGAATTCATGATAAGTGTTTTTTGAATTGATGTCTTTTTTATTTCATTTTTAAATGTTTTAAGTTGTTTTGATTTTTGTTGTATTTTTACTTTTCTTTTGAACATATTTTGGGTACAAAAAAGGAGCAGATATAAGATTTATTCTTCTTCTGCTGCCTTTCATTTTATTTGATTTTATTTTGATTGCATGTTTTTCTGTACTTTGATAATCTGTGTTACAAATTTAATGAATAAAGAACTACTACCACCACTACTACTACTAGTAGTAGTAGTCACTACTACCACTACTACTACTACTACTACTACTACTACAGTAGTAGTAGTAGTAGTAGTAGTACTCTGTTTGAGAAGAACAGGTATGGGAACAGCTGTAAACATGAGCAGTTTGAATATGGGGCGATTCACTGACAGATTCAACCAGGTGACCCGTTGTTGCTCAAAGAGTTATCCACAACAGGTAAGATATTACTTGTTTATCATTTTCCCACACAATTTCTCTTCAAAATTGAACTTTTTTTTGGCTTATAATTTTCTACACGTTGAGATTTACTGAGCTCCGGTTACACTCTTGTGAAACCGCACTCCCTGCGCGGAGTCACGCAGACGTTTACAAACACTTTTGTTTTTTGACGTAAAACAGTTTACTAAATCCTGTGTGACTCATGCAGGTGATGAGATTATTGATCAGAAGATGAGTCAGGTACCTTCCAGGATGAGGCAAAGATACTCGGACAGAACGATGACTCAGTTGTTTTTGAAGCATTTCACATCAACAAGATTTAAAAATCACTTTTTGTCGTCGTGAGCAGAATAAAACCAGTACTGGGCAGTGAAGCTGGGTTTCAGGAAGGCAGAAAATAATTTACACATGTAGAGATGTTCAAGTGTTCACTTAGTCCTCAGGCCTCACACACACACACACAAACACACACTTCACTAACACACTAAAAACTACAAGTTCCAACAGGTGGGAACTCTTTCCAAAACAAGGAAACTTTGTGAAACTTTTACACTCGATGCATCTTCTGCACTCAGAAACATGGATTTATTGTCGTCACCGGACTGAATCCCACATGTACTTTAGTTCCACCTGGCAAGGTTTTCCTCTTAAACACACACATCCAAAACCACACAACTACACACACACACACACACACACACACACAC